AGCTATTTTAAAGGGTACTTTGTTAACTTGTTGAGCATGCAAACATCACTTTAGTCTTTATCCATTTTGTCATAGATTTTCCAAAAATAAAGATCAAATAAAACTATTAATAAAATAATAGTAATAATGAAGGATGTATAGATCCAGAGCGTTGGAATAAAAAGCAACAATAATAAGATGGTATAAAACTAGTAATAAAATAATAGTAATAATGAAGAGTGTATAGAGCCAGAGTGTTGGAATAAAAAGCAACAATAATAAGATGGAATGAAACTAGTAATAAAATAATAGTAATAATGAAGAGTGTATAGAGCCAGAGTGTTGGGATAAAAAGCAACAATAATAAGATGGTATAAAACTAGTACTAAAATAATAGTAATAATGAAGAGTGTATAGAGCCAGAGTGTTGGGATAAAAAGCAACAATAATAAGATGGTATAAAACTAGTACTAAAATAATAGTAATAATGAAGAGTGTATAGAGCCAGAGTATTGGAATAAAAAGCAACAATAATAAGATGGAATGAAACTAGTAATAAAATAATAGTAATAATGAGGAGTGTATAGAGCCAGAGTGTTGGAATAAAAAGCAACAATAATAAGATGGAATGAAACTAGTAATAAAATAATAGTAATAATGAAGAGTGTATAGAGCCAGAGTGTTGGAATAAAAAGCAACAATAATAAGATGGAATGAAACTAGTAATAAAATAATAGTAATAATGAAGAGTGTATAGAGCCAGAGTGTTGGAATAAAAAGCAACAATAATAAGATGGAATGAAACTAGTACTAAAATAATAGTAATAATGAAGAGTGTATAGAGCCAGAGTGTTGGGATAAAAAGCAACAATAATAAGATGGTATAAAACTAGTACTAAAATAATAGTAATAATGAAGAGTGTATAGAGCCAGAGTGTTGGAATAAAAAGCAACAATAATAAGATGGAATGAAACTAGTAATAAAATAATAGTAATAATGAGGAGTGTATAGAGCCAGAGTGTTGGAATAAAAAGCAACAATAATAAGATGGAATGAAACTAGTAATAAAATAATAGTAATAATGAAGAGTGTATAGAGCCAGAGTGTTGGGATAAAAAGCAACAATAATAAGATGGTATAAAACTAGTACTAAAATAATAGTAATAATGAAGAGTGTATAGAGCCAGAGTGTTGGGATAAAAAGCAACAATAATAAGATGGTATAAAACTAGTACTAAAATAATAGTAATAATGAAGAGTGTATAGAGCCAGAGTGTTGGAATAAAAAGCAACAATAATAAGATGGAATGAAACTAGTAATAAAATAATAGTAATAATGAAGAGTGTATAGAGCCAGAGTGTTGGAATAAAAAGCAACAATAATAAGATGGAATGAAACTAGTAATAAAATAATAGTAATAATGAAGAGTATATAGAGCCAGAGTGTTGGGATAAAAGCAACAATAATAAGATGGTATAAAACTAGTACTAAAATAATAGTAATAATGAGGAGTGTATAGAGCCAGAGTGTTGGAATAAAAAGCAACAATAATAAGATGGAATGAAACTAGTAATAAAATAATAGTAATAATGAAGAGTGTATAGAGCCAGAGTGTTGGAATAAAAAGCAACAATAATAAGATGGAATGAAACTAGTAATAAAATAATAGTAATAATGAAGAGTGTATAGAGCCAGAGTGTTGGAATAAAAAGCAACAATAATAAGATGGAATGAAACTAGTAATAAAATAATAGTAATAATGAAGAGTGTATAGAGCCAGAGTGTTGGAATAAAAAGCAACAATAATAAGATGGAATGAAACTAGTAATAAAATAATAGTAATAATGAGGAGTGTATAGAGCCAGAGTGTTGGAATAAAAAGCAACAATAATAAGATGGAATGAAACTAGTAATAAAATAATAGTAATAATGAAGAGTGTATAGAGCCAGAGTGTTGGGATAAAAAGCAACAATAATAAGATGGTATAAAACTAGTACTAAAATAATAGTAATAATGAAGAGTGTATAGAGCCAGAGTGTTGGGATAAAAAGCAACAATAATAAGATGGTATAAAACTAGTACTAAAATAATAGTAATAATGAAAGTGTATAGAGCCAGAGTGTTGGAATAAAAAGCAACAATAATAAGATGGAATGAAACTAGTAATAAAATAATAGTAATAATGAAGAGTGTATAGAGCCAGAGTGTTGGAATAAAAGCAACAATAATAAGATGGAATGAAACTAGTAATAAAATAATAGTAATAATGAAGTGTGTATAGAGCCAGAGTGTTGGGATAAAAAGCAACAATAATAAGATGGTATAAAACTAGTAATAAAATAATAAAATAATAAGTGTTGGGATAAAAAAGCAACAATAATAAGAAGAATAAAACTAGTAATGATAAAATAAAAAGCAACAATAATAAGATGGAATAAAACTAGTAATAAAATAATAGTAATAATGAAGAGTGTATAGAGCCAGAGTGTTGGAATAAAAAGCAACAATAATAAGATGGAATAAAACTAGTAATAAAATAATAGTAATAATGAAGAGTGTATAGAGCCAGAGTGTTGGAATAAAAAGCAACAATAATAAGATGGTATAAAACTAGTACTAAAATAATAGTAATAATGAAGAGTGTATATAGAGCCAGAGTGTTGGAATAAAAAGCAACAATAATAAGATGGTATAAAACTAGTAATAAAATAATAGTAATAATGAAGAGTGTATAGAGCCAGAGTGTTGGAATAAAAAGCAACAATAATAAGATGGTATAAAACTAGTAATAAAATAATAAATAATGAAGAGTGTATAGAGCCAGAGTGTTGGAATAAAAAGCAACAAAAAAATAAGATGGAATAAAACTAGTAATAAAATAATAGTAATAATGAAGAGTGTATAGAGCCAGAGTGTTGGGATAAAAAGCAACAATAATAAGATGGTATAAAACTAGTAATAAAATAATAGTAATAATGAAGAGTGTATAGAGCCAGAGTGTTGGAATAAAAAGCAACAAAAATAAGATGGTATAAAACTAGTAATAAAATAATAGTAATAATGAAGAGTGTATAGAGCCAGAGTGTTGGGATAAAAAGCAACAATAATAAGATGGTATAAAACTAGTACTAAAATAATAGTAATAATGAAGAGTGTATAGAGCCAGAGTGTTGGAATAAAAAGCAACAAAAATAAGATGGTATAAAACTAGTAATAAAATAATAGTAATAATGAAGAGTGTATAGAGCCAGAGTGTTTGGGATAAAAAAGCAACAATAATAAGATGGTATAAAACTAGTAATAAAAAATAGTAATAATGAAGAGTGTATAGAGCCAGAGTGTTGGAATAAAAAGCAACAAAAATAAGATGGTATAAAACTAGTAATAAAATAATAGTAATAATGAAGAGTGTATAGAGCCAGAGTGTTGGGATAAAAAGCAACAATAATAAGATGGTATAAAACTAGTAATAAAATAATAGTAATAATGAAGAGTGTATAGAGCCAGAGTGTTGGGATAAAAAAGCAACAATAATAAGATGAAATAAAACTAGTAATAAAATAATAGTAATAATGAAGAGTGTATAGAGCCAGAGTGCTGGGATAAAAAGCAACAATAATAAGATGGAATAAAACTAGTACTAAAATAATAGTAATAATGAAGAGTGTATAGAGCCAGAGTGTTGGAATAAAAAGCAACAATAATAAGATGGTATAAAACTAGTAATAAAATAATAGTAATAATGAAGAGTGTATAGAGCCAGAGTGTTGGGATAAAAAGCAACAATAATAAGATGGTATAAAACTAGTAATAAAATAATAGTAATAATGAAGAGTGTATAGAGCCAGAGTGTTGGGATAAAAAGCAACAATAATAAGATGGAATAAAACTAGTAATAAAATAATAGTAATAATGAAGAGTGTATAGAGCCAGAGTGCTGGGATAAAAAGCAACAATAATAAGATGGAATAAAACTAGTAATAAAATAATAGTAATAATGAAGAGTGTATAGAGCCAGAGTGTTGGAATAAAAAGCAACAATAATAAGATGGAATAAAACTAGTAATAAAATAATAGTAATAATGAAGAGTGTATAGAGCCAGAGTGTTGGAATAAAAAGCAACAATAATAAGATGGTATAAAACTAGTACTAAAATAATAGTAATAATGAAGAGTGTATAGAGCCAGAGTGTTGGAATAAAAAGCAACAATAATAAGATGGAATAAAACTAGTAATAAAATAATAGTAATAATGAAGAGTGTATAGAGCCAGAGTGTTGGGATAAAAAGCAACAATAATAAGATGGAATAAAACTATTAGAAAAATAATAGTATTAATGAAGAGTGTATAGAACCAGAGTGTTGGGATGTAAAGCAACAATAATAAGATGGAATAAAAGTAGTAATAAAATAATACAAATTAAATGAAAGTTACCAGTGATACAGTGTGGGAAATACTTGTTATAAAAATCTTAAAACCAAACTGAATACATTTTATGGTTAAACTTTTTGCAGAAATGTATGTTTATTGATATGCAAATTTATGTGCGTACACATACCTCTTGACATCTCTTTGAAAACGTGTCTATGTTTGTATATGCAATTTATGCATGTTTGTCAGCCAGCAACTTGTTCATTTGATTAGATCATGACAGAAGAATTCAGACGATCTTTTTCTGCTTGCCAATTTCGATTTTATGGCAGATGACACATGGCATAAAAGAAAGTTTGGCTTATCTTCAGAGAAAATAAGGGACAACGTTCTTTTATTCATTTTCTTTCATTTTTTTTTTCTTTCATTTTTACCTTCTGTTTTTTTCTCCTTCATAATTATATGAAGGAGAAAAAAAAATAAAAGGGAACATTTTTTAAATTCTTCTCATTTTTCTTCCTCCTTCCAACTTCACTTCTTTCCTTTCTTCATAATATTTGTAAAGTATTTATTATTCTCGTTTCATGCCTTCATAGAATATGGCCAGTGTTCATTGCTGTAGATTGAGTGAGGGCAAATCTCTTTACCATATCATGTAGAAACACCGGTTCCCATATGATCACTGAAGTTAAGCAACATTGAGTCAGTACCTAGATGGGTGACCACTTAGGAATACTAGGTACTGTAAGCTTGGATGTGTGGGTGGTGTAATGGATAATGGCTCAGAATTGGAAATCAGGGAGCTGAGCTCTAATTTTGATCGAACTTGTTATATTCACTTATCCACACAAACACCCTTAGGAAAGGTATGTAGCCACCTCTTTCCCCAGCCTGCTATAGGATAATCAGTAGGATTTTTATCAGTCAATCAATCAAGGCTGACCACATTCATTGTAAACTCTGTAATCCTTTCATTAGTTGTACAGCATGTGCTTCACAAGGGCTACATATGGTTTTGAATTCAGAGTTTTCCTTCTTCTAGACTAGTTGCCACCCAAGGCTGAAGAACACAGCCTACCCTACTATTACTCAAATGTGGAGGTTTTGAATTCAGTGTTGTACACTTCCTAGACTAGTTGCCACACAAGGCTATAGGACACAGTTTATCCTGCTATTTACCCATAGCATGTGGTGGTGGGGTGAGAAGAGATGGCTACATATCCTTCCCAAGGGTACGTGCATGTAGGTGAATGTAAATCATCATTATCCCCCCCACCAAATTCTTTCAATCCAAAAATATTTTCTGGCTTTAAATAAGCTGCAAAAGGTTGATAAGCCATAAAAAACAAATCAATCAATTAAAAGCAAATCTCTTCAAATATTCGTTGGTAAGAAAGAAGTTCCACTCAGACAGCTTCTCTTTGATGACTGCTATTTTGTGGAACAGATTCCTGAGAGGATGCTTTTCTAATCACTACAATCTTAACCTCTTCAAGACTAGGGTCAACTATTATCTATCCTACATATTCTCATATTTACTTCCTCTCCTTACATCCATGCAACATCCTCGCTCCATAACCCTTTACTTTGAGTGTCTCTTGGGCCTTGTATTGGGTGAATATTTATTTAAAAAATAAAAGCACCTTTCTCAATATTGCAGACAGAACTGGTAATCAGAGGAAGGGAGTGGATCATCCAGCATTACTGAAAACAGCAAAGAAAAAAAGACTTGAGACTTAATATAAGCCACAAGTGAGAACTCATGCAAACATCTCTTCCTCCTCCTAATACTACTACTAGTAGTAGTTGTTGTTAATGATAATAATGATAGTAGTAGGAGTAGTATTAGTAGTTGACTGAAAAATAGCAGGATCTGAAGAAGCTAGGGTATATGGCTGTTGAAGTAATTCTTGTAGTAATGGGAGCACTTGGAACATCACCTAGAAAACTGAAAAAAGCACTGGAATTGTAATTGAGACCAAGATTGTAGACCTCCAGAAAACTGCTATCATTTAGTCTGCAAGGATTCTTTGGAATTTTCTTGAGTTGGGAAGAGTCTTTTTGATACCATACCTCAGAATGTGTAACACCAACATAATAATTATCAATAGTCAGTAATTCTGTTGTCTGGATCGTTCTGAGTGTTCCTCATATTTTCAATACCTCCAGACTTTTTTCCTAGGATCTTCAGGACTGTCCTGAGTACTCCAATAATGAATGGCACAACTGTTGCTTTAACATTCTGCAGCTTTCTTAGTTTTATAGGAAAGTCAAGATATATATCTGTCTTTTTACATTTTTTTCAAATGTAATCCCTGGTTTGCTGGAACAATGATGTTCATTATCAAACATGATTTCTTCTTGTTTCCTCCCACTAGATTTAGTCTTCTGGCCTGGAGTGACAAATTTGTTTGAGCTTCAAAGTCCATAGGATTTTATTTGTGGCATTCTATGGACAGATTCTAGTTTGTTCATATACAATTGTTCTGTAGGTCAAAATGTGCACTTCTCAAGGGGTCACCCTCCCTACCCAGTTATGCCTGTCATTGTATTCATTCTGGGTTAATTTGTTACATTTATTATTATGTAGTTGTCTCATCTTTATTTCCAGACAGTTGACCTTTGTGCTTGCCTGTGTCTTGTCTATGTTGGCCTTTATATAGTTCATTATTATGGCGTTGTCTTGAGTTGTCATTAAGAGTGATTCAATCTCTCTCTTAATCTTTCTTCTACATAGTCAGGACTATATAGATTTATCAGTATTTCTACAGAAGCACACCGCTCCAAGAAATAATTATTTTTTTCAGGAAGGTGCTAGAGATTTTTTTAACACAAACACTTTCGAATTTTTCTAAGATCATCTTCCGTTCCTTTATACAGGAATGCTTTGACATATGAGTTTAATTTGTTCCAAGTTCGAGCTCATAATTCAAAAGATTTTTTATTTCAAATCAATTTTCCCTATTGAAATTAATGGGAATATTTCTGACCCATTCCAAGCCCCTAAAAATTCACCACTGCTCTTTACACTTACTTTCTTTGGACCTATGATGTCTCTAAAGGAATTTTGCAAAATAACGGTAAAAAAGACAGAACACAACACAACAGAGATCCTTCCAGAGCAAAGGTGAACATGTACTGTGGGTGCTTAACTGAAACTCGCTTGTATCTCAAAATTATGCTTGTATCTCAAGGCAAAAACTGGCCAAATTCCAGCTCATATCTCTAAAAATCTCATATGGCTGTATGCTCATATCTTAAGATATTACTTTATTTAAACACATGTTTTACAAAAAATTACATAACTATAATGGATAAATTTAAAAATTCATAAAAAATCTATAACTGAGTGCATTCGCATGGTTTTGTAAAATCACTATGACAACAAACTGCAGATTTTATAGCAGTTACAAGATTGTCTTTGTAATTTACCCCTGAAGATGATCTTAGAGATGGTCGAAAGTAGTTGGGTTAAAAAAAACTATGGCACCATCGTTGATGAATTTCATCTTAACATCAAGAAACTGATTAGACAACTGGAAAGGATCAATAAGTAGACACAATATGTCTATATTATACAATGAAACATGTTTGAATGAAGATATACTGCCTAAATATACAAATATATATATATATATTATAAATTAATTGATTTAAAATGAAAAAAACATATTTTAAATTAATAAATTTATAAATTTGTAAATTTACATTGAGCACTATTTTGTAAAAATAGAAATATCTATAAGAACACCGGATTATATATCTTACTTTTCTTTCTTTATATATATATATATATATATATATATATATATATATATATATAGTGGGTGTAACAGAAAATTGTCTAATTGTTAGATTAAGCTTTGAACTGTTGCATCTTAGAAATGATAAAAGATATCTTACTGGAATTCTCCCAGGTTTTCATAACACTATGAACTCTACTTTGAACAATAAGAATGTATTTAGCTCTTAGTTGAAATGATGATTCCTCTTCCTGTTGTGACCTCCAGATCCTGTTTTTCTCTCTACTGTTCCCTCCTTTTTTAAACTTATTCATCGTTCTCTTGATGGTTCTTAAATGAAAGAACTTGTCTAAATGTTTGGCAGAACAGGGATTAGGAGAAATAGTAAAAAGACAAACTTTAGTAAGGGTTACAAAAGGACAAGAAGTTGTGGAGAGTCATGATTGCTCATATCCTGAATGGACATGGCACACAATATAACTGCAAGGCTCAAGAGACACTCAAGTTAAGGTTACTAAATGAGGTTGTTTTATGGATATGTACAATAATTAACATTGAAAGTTAAGACTGTAGTGTATGGGAAAGCATCCTCTCAGGAGTCTGCCCCATAAAGTAGCAGCTCTTGGAAAGATGATGTTTGAATGAAACTTCCTTCTTACAATGGAATATGAAGGGTGTGATGATGATGATCCACTTCTGTGTATATAGCATGGTGGGTCTAAGCTATAATGGTATGAACTGGTAGAACTTGGGAATGGAGGTCAGTTGATCAGATTTCCATAGTTTGTGATGTTGTGTCTGGAGATAGAAAATAATTATCACCTACAAGCTTGTATAAACACTTTTGAACTCTGTCAAGGCTGGAAATCGAGGATTGGGTAGCTCCAGACTCTGATATGGCAGCAATATTCAGTTTATGGAACAAACATCAGTCAGTGTTAAAACAATTGTCTTTCAGGTTTTTTTTCTAATTTTGATCAGAAGTCCTATAAACCATTTGGTTGTTGGGGCATAATACGTACTGCAGCCATATGAACAATTGGTATGTCTAGGGCAAGGTAGTTTGAAGAAACCCCTTCTTTCTATCAAACTGATATCAAACTGATAAAAACCCCTTTCTTTCTATCAAACTGATTTTCAATTCAGAATTTTTCTTCTCTTAGAAACAGAATGATTTGATTTTCAAAGGTATTTGCACATAAGTGAATATAAAAAATATAACTGGAATTGAAACTTAGTTCTCTGATCAACAATTCCATGCTATTATCCATTACATCACCTGTACATCTAAGCTTACAGCACTTGGTATTCCCAAGTGGTCACCCATCTAAATACTGAACAGGCTCAATGTTGCTTAACTTCAGTGATCATACGAGAACTGATGTTTAATATTAACTGATGAGTCAGTGTACGTAATTTCAGGTTGATGGTAGGGTGTAGCCCCAGTAAGGTCAAGAACTCCAGTGTGTAGGCTGTTGTGTGACATGGATTGGGTTTGTTGTTCTACCTTAACAGGTCATTGGTTGGTGACTGCTACATTGCACTGCATTGTGATCATTTACACCAATGATTTCATGTACACCAAGGATTATAGGTTATTCTAGCAAGATAATGCACTGTGCCATCAGTTGCCCAAGTTACCCAGAATTGGTTTGTGGAGCATTCTGGAGGCCTTTATTGAATAGTTCAGACTACATTGGCCCACTTGAGCATTTATAAGAAACAGTTAGAGGTTATCTGCCTGCAAGACTCTGCATCTCTAAGTATCAAGGTATTGTAAACAGTTACAGAAATAGCAGAATTCTACAGAGATCCATTTGGCATTGACTCAAGGATGTTCCCCACAACACTAGCTACTCAGAATCATGACTTTTTCCATATCACTGTAAATAATGTGACTAAAATCAGTAAGAACACTGAGGAAGGTACTAGAGTATTGGAGAGATTTGTTGTCACATGATCCCCAACAACAGCCATGTTAATTTTGCAAAATATAAACATCTAATAAAAATTTCAGATCATTATTGGAATACTTGGAATAATCCTGAATAGTCTGAGAAAACTGGAAATCTGAGGAAAAGTTAAAAAGTGTCCAGATGATGGCATCAGAAAAACTGAAGAAAATCATCCAGTTTGGGAGAAATTTACTCTTATTTAGAACTCCAAAGAAAAGAAAGAAAAAAAATGTTATGGAATTTTGAAATTCTGACAGCTCATAGAATCCTGGCATAAAAGCTAGTTTTAATCATTAGGAAGAAAAAGAAGTCCTGTCAGATTGTAGATGTGACTGATAGAGAGTGAAAAGCTGTATAAATATCATGACCTTGTTGAAGAACTGCATAAATATTTGTTGATTATAAAGGTAGTGATTATAAAGGAGGCACGGTAGAGTAATGGATAGTGGCTCGGATTGAAGAGTCAGAGAGCCGAGTTCAAATTCCAGTCAAATCCATTACATTCACTTATGTGCTAATGCCCTTGGGAAAGGTATGAATCCTTTTCTTCTCTCCCCAACTATGGGTAAATAGCAGGACAGACCAGGTTCTATAGCCTTGTATAGCAACTGGTCTACTGCAGAAAGAAATGGCAACCTACTGAGAAAAAATCTGCCTGCAGGAAAAATCTGCCTCTTCACTCATGTATCGAAAGATACATGATCACCTAAGCATGTATCACAAATGGCACATAACTGACTGATATTTCCTTACATGCTAATACCCTTGGGAAATGTATGAATTCTCTTCTCTCCCACCTCTTCTATGGGTAAAGGACAGACCGGATTCTATAGCCTTGGATAGCAATTGGTCTACCACAGAAAGAAATGTCAACCAACTGTGGGAAAAAATCTGCCTTGTCAGCCATGTATTGAATGATACATGATCACCTATGCATGTATCAGGCATGGTGCATAACTGATTATAAAGGTAATCAGTGTACCACTACTAACTGGAATAATAAGAAAGGTTCTAAAAATGCTTTTCTAAAAGGCTGAGAAAGCTGGAAGTCGGAAGAGGAATTAAAAGACATCTGGTTTATGGAACCATAAATCACAGCTGAAATATTGGAAGAGTCTTAGAGTTCTGATGAAATTCACTCTCCTATGATCTCCAGCAAAAGCCACCAGATACAATGACTGGGGAAAATTAATGAATAATATAGCAATTCTCCTGGAAGTGATATCAGTATAGCTTTGAAGATAATCCAATTATTCCAAATCTCAAGTGTAACTCATATATAATATCCATTGGTAAAGGTATTGGGGAAAATGGTCGACTCATTCTATTGTTCCATGTTCTTCTGCCATGCTTTGTTTTTTGCAAAAGGAATGATTCCAAAAAGCTCAGTCAAAAAACTGGTGGAATTGGGTATCTGCAGAAGAATCCAGATTTTCCGAACAATGACTGACACGATCCAGAAGCTAGAAAAGAGTATTGGTCTATTGAGGAGACTTGCTGCCACTCAGTCTCTGGTAATAACTTCCAGGCATCTTGTGTGAATATACAAATGCTTGAAATACTAGTATACTACTACTAAAATAAGTCAGCAAAAATACTGCGGACAGTGTTGATGTATTGAGAAGATCTACTGGTATCTAATTTCCAATGTAACCCATCAATTACTACTGGCTAGAGACTCAATGAGTACAGTAAAAAAATGAAGAAGAAGAAAAAAGAATAAAAGGAAAAAATAAAAAGAGGAAGAAGAAAAAGAAACAGTAAAATAGAGAAAAGAATAAGAAAAAGAAGTAGAAAAAAGAATAAAGTATAAAAGGGGGAAGAAAAAAAGAGTAAAATTTGAAGAAAAAGAAGGACAAATATGTATATAGTAAGGAAAAGGAAGAAGAAAAGAAAGAAGAAAAATAGTGATGAAAAAAGTAAAAAAGAATAAAATGAATTGAGAGTGAACAAAAAAATGAGGAAAAAAGATGAAAGGTAAAAAGAAGAGAAAAGAAGAACAAAGAATAAAGAAAAGAATAAGAAGAAGTAGGAAAAGGAAGAAGAAAAAGATTAGAGGAAAAAAGATGAAAAGAAGAAAAAAGAAAGGGAAAAAAGGAAAAAGAGGAGGAAGAAAGAATAAGAAAAAATATAAAAAGAATGGAAAATAAAAAGTAGGAAAATAAGAAAAAATAAAGTAAAAAACAAAAAAAGAAGAAAAAGATTAAGATTTGAAGAAAAAATATGGAAGAAAGTAGAAGAAAAAGCAGCAAAAAAATCAAAAGAAAGAAGAAGAAAAGGGAGGAGAAAAAGAAGATAACAGAAAAGACAAGTAAAGTTTTAAAGTAAGCAGTAGCTAAAATAATAGAGTCTGCATTGTAAATTGGAAAAAGTGAGAGAGAGAGAGAGAGAGAGAGAGAGAGAAGGAAGTAAATGTGAATTTGAAAAAAAATCAGAGAAAAAAAATGGAAACAAAACCACTGAGATATTCAAACTGTTGTGAAGCCAGAGAAACTGAGTCAACATTTAACAAGCCAAGCAGAAAATAATATTTGAAAATGGCCGCCTTAGGTAATTCCTCAGATACAACTTCAAGGAAAACTTTATGAAAATATGACCAAACTTGTGTACACTTTTCCTTGGATACACAGACAGAACCAGCAGTTAACAAACAGTTTTTATGAAATAGATATTCAGTCAGGTTCAAAAGAGAAGGGCTGATTTAAGAGGGATTTTTTTTTAGTGCCCCCCCTCCGCATTCTTGTTTATCATAGTTTTTTATTTCTTTATCATTCAGACTTTTAGCTTTTTTCATTCATCGCCAACCTTCATTGTCTTATTTTTTCTTCTTTTTCATTCTACTTCACTCTTTTCTGCTAATTTTTTCCCTTTTTAGTCTTTCTTCTTTCAATTTCTTACTTTTCTTTTTTTTTACTTTATTCTTCATTTTCTTCTTTTTTCTTATTTTCTTCTTTTTTCTTACACTTTCCCAAATTTTTACTCTTCTAGACTTTCTTCTTTTTGTTTCTTCTTCTTTCTCTTTCATATTTTTCTTCATTCTATTCTTTTCTCTCAGTTTCTTCTTTTCATTCTACTTTCTTTCCTACTTTTTAATTTTCTTTTACTCTTTTTTCTTACTCCTCATACCTTTTCTTCTTTCTACTTTATTTCTTTCATTCTTAATCTTTCCATCTTTTTTTCTATTCTTTTATTCTTTATGCTTCTTCTTCTTTTTACTCTTCTTTTCCTCTTTCTTTTTAATCCCCATTCTATTTTTTGCTTTCCTCATTTTACTTTTTCTTCTACTTTTTTGATCCATTCTTTTAAATATTTCTTCATCATTCTCCACTGTTTTCTTTCTTTTTACTCTTTCTTCTACATTTTCATTCTTTTCTTTTTACTTTCTTTTTCTTTAATTTTCTTCTTTCTTCTTTTTACTATTTCTTCTACTTTTTTGTTTTCCTCATTCTCATTAATCATTCTAATCTTTTTTTTTACTTTTCTTTCTTTTTCCTCTTCTTTTTTCTTTCTCCTCATTCTCATTAATCATTCTGTTCTTCTTTCTTTTTACTTTTTCATCTTTTTATTTTTCTTTCTTTTTACCCTCTCCTCTTGTTACTTTTTCTTCTTATTTTTCTTTCTTTTTACTCTTTCTTCTACTTTTTCTTTCTTATCTTCCTCTTTCTACATTCTTTTTTTTTCTTCTTTTTTTACCCTTGACTTTTCTCTTCTTTTTTTCTCCCCTTCCTCATCTTTCTTTTCTTTTCACATAACCTGAGAACCAACCTGACACTTATTTCAATCTATCAGCAGGTAACTGTCAGGTGAATAAAGTTCAAAACAAGGTGTGACACATTGACAGATTTCTTACTTTCACCTTCAAATTCCCCCACTCCTCGCCACTGACATACTTCAAACTCTTTATTAAGTGTAAAAATCTCAATAACTATAAGAAAAACAGAGCAAAATAATATGAGGGAAGACAATGTAATGAAAGGCAAAATAAAACAACTATATGACAGTAATAAAGTAAAAAGTTTGCAAAATAGAAAAAGGGATACAGTCAAGTGATTAGAGCTTTCTGTCTTCAAGGCAAGAAAGAAAAAAATGTATCGGTAATACAAAGAATTGTCTATTTTTATTAGCTATGAAAAAATCCCAGCATGCATCTGTAGGATTTGTCTATAAATTTTGGGAGCAGGGATATTTAGCAGTTACTATCTAGATTGTGACCAACATTTTTTCTCCCTTTTTGTCTACAAATATCTGTTAATGTTATCAAAATAGAAAGGAAAAGATTAATGACATAAAAAAAGAAATAATTTTTGTAACATGGGTACAGGAACTAGTAACCATGAGTTATGTCCCTTGATACAGGACTTTCCTGAACGAGATTCTAACTTGGTATGAAATAAAAAAACAAGAGCTCACTGCAATTTGCAGATACTGTATATACACTTTTTAAACATGTCAACTTGGAATAAACAACTGTCAAGGAGATCTCCTTGTCTTTCATACTGAAACACCCCACATGAAAATATTACAATTTTTTTCATGGTTGATAAGTGATTTTAATAAGGCAATAAATGAATGATGAAGAATTACTGACAAGAATAAGATTAAGAATTTAAGAATAAGGTTAAGAATTTAAGAATAGAATAAAGAATTTAAGAATAAGGTCAAGAATTTAAGAATAAGATTAAGAATTACAGACAAAAAATAAAATCAATTTAAGAAAAAAATGAATTATTTAGGGCATACTCATTTCTTTGAAATATTCAAGTTATCTTTCATCTTCTTAGTAATCATCTGATCACTTCAACCTTTCTTTCTTCAATATTTGTAGTATTTATACCAATTTCTGCAGTGTAGAATCTTTTCTCTTGAAATGTTCTCCAGATATGTTAGCACTTTGCAAAACTAATTTAAATTCTTCTATCGCTACTGCTGAATTCTCTGTTCCAGGCTATCTCCCTTGATTCTAGGATACATATCCATGGCATTGATGTTTATACCTGACAAACTTTTCCGATGGCAAGGGAATTGTCTCTTAATTGCTCAGATGATTCTTTCATGTGCTTTCGACTTTCTTTATTGCACACTGTTTGCTGTCTCTTTTTCCTTTAGCAATCCCTTTCTTTTTGGGACTATAACATATTAAACAAAATATCTGACAATATAGAAATAGTTCACTCTCTACATTCATATGTGAATAATAATTTTTTTTTAATGTTTACTGATTTTAATGCTCATCATGTTAAGTTGCTTAATCATACTAATATTACTGATGTTGCCAGTAATCAAACATCAACTTTCCATTATTCAGTCTCTCAGTCAAATAGTGGATTTTCCTACTCATTTCCCTGATAATTCTGATCAACAAGCTTCTTTACTTGATTTGTTCCTTACCTCCTCTTCTAGCTGTTGTCGAGTATTGCAACTCTGCCTTCTTGGGAATTCAGATCATGCTGTAGTATCTGTTGATATTTTTTGAGTTGTCTATACAGAAGTCTTCTTTCTGTTACCTACATACTGATTGGGATTCATTTCATGACTTTCTTCAAGACACTCCTTGGATTGATATTTTTAATCTTCCTATTGAGAATTATGCCACTGAGGTTTCTTTTTGGGTTAAAATTTGCATTGATGCTTTCGTACCTTCTCAGAAATATCAGGTGAAAGGTACAATCTTCTTGGTTCCCACCTGCCTGTTCAGTTGCTATAGCAACACAGAATTCACTTATTCAAGGTGTACTAGCATGATAGTTTCAATCACAACAGCTGCTTCTTTGTATTCATAATAATTGCAAACATGTCCTCAAAAAGGCTACTGTCCCAGGTATGATGATAAACTACATCCGCATCCTGGGTAAGACGATAAACTATGTTCAAACGCAAGGCCCTCTATCAGGAGGTTTTGAGGTGCGTGGAACCACTTCTTAATTGCTGGTGTTCCCAGGTCCACCCTGACCCGGGGTGGTAGCATCTGCTAAGTTCCCAGCTATGGGCAAAATAGTTGACACCCAAACTTGTGTAAAAATAGTTTTTAATACCAGAAATACTTTGTAATAAAAAAAAATATTACCAGCAATAATTTTTGAAGGAAAAATTATTATCAGCAATACTTAAAAAAAACAGTACCAGCAATACAAACAGTTATACATTCTTTGAAAAAAATATTACCAGCTATAGATTTCTTCAAGGAAAAATATTTCCAGAAATAGGTTTTTGAAGAAAAACATTACCAGCAATAAAAATTTTGTCGGCATTAAATAACCTATTGAGGTTGATATGCCATAAAACAAAGCAAACCAATCAAAAAGGCTAATTCTTTCTTTGCTGATAGAATGATGAACTGTATAACTGCTAACAAGTTTGGTTCTCAGGACTACTGGCAGCTCTGTAATAGTGTGTTAAATAAGTTTTCTATCCTTTGTCTCTTCAATTGATTTGAGATGTTAACTTTTGCTGATAAAGCAGAATACTTTGCTTGTAAATTTTCTTCCAATTCTACTCTTGACTCATCTGGAGTATCTTTACCTAACACTGAGCAAATTTAGAACTGAGTCTCTATTGAGTGATATGCATGTAACTCTGTTCATGGTTTCTGCTATCATCTCTAAACTTCATCTGCACAAAGCTTGTAGACTTGATAGTATCCCCCCATTAGTTCTTAAGAAATGTGCTTCTGAACTGGTTCCTGTTCTTGCTAAACTCCACAAGAAATACCATACTGCTTCTTGCTTTCCTGCTTGTTAGAAATCCTTTTCTGCAATTACAGTCTTTAAGAACTTGGGTGAAACATCTGACTCTTCTAATTACTGGCCTTCTATTTCTTTTTGGCAAAGTAGCAATAATCAAATCTGAATTGGTTAAGCATCTCACATTGCAGGCTCTTCTTTCAGATAAGCAATGTGGTTTTTGCTTCTCTAGGTCAACTGCTGATGTATTAACAATTATTGCTGAAAGAGTCTATCAAGCTTTAAATAAGAATGATTTAGCTCAGGCTCTTACTTTGGATATCTTGAAGGCAATTGACAGGATTTAGCATGCTGGCCTTCTTCAAAAGTTGAAAGGTTATGGTATTTATGGACAGATTTTTGATCTAATACAATCTTTCTTATCAAATCATAAAATGAATGTTGTCTTGTATGTATGACCAAACTTCTAGATCTTTTTTAATTATTGCAAGTGTCCTCCAGGATCCTATCCTTGAACTTATATTGTTCCTAATTTTCAACAACAACCTTCCTAATGATATCAGTTCTCAACTCGCTATCTATGCTAATGTCACAACTATTTACTCCTATCTTAATAGGAAGTCTGATGAGTTCAACAGGATCAAATAGGATGCTGATCTCAAAAATGACCTTCAATCTGTTGTTAACTGGAGCAAAAAAGGCTTGTTATTGTTAATCTTGACAACCCCAAAACAAAAATGTTCTCTTGCCTTAGAGAAAGTTTTTTTGTTGTCCATTAGCATGGTTGATGTTAAACTCCAGGAGATTGACTCTTTGCAAATTCTTGGGCTGAGAAATTTCCATTGACATAAACTGAACAGATCATATTGAATCAGTTCTTAGGTCTGCTGCTAGGCAAGTTGGTACACTATGTGCTAGACATTTTTTCTCACCAGTATCTATCTTGCACATTTATAAGTCTATCATTTGTTTGTGTGTTGAATACTGGTGCCACATCTGGTTTGGTGCTTCTGCTATGTATTTAGATACTATTGATAAAATTCAAAGAAGAATTTGCAATGTTATTGGTCCTGATCAGGCATCTTGGCTTCAGTCACTCTCTCTCTTTTTTTCTCTCTCTCTCTCTCTCTCTCTCTCTCTGCTGTATCATAGCTTCCCTGTGCCTTTTCTACAAATATTCTTATAAGAATTTGTTCTGATGGGATTTCCTCTTTGGTACCTAGACTTTATGAATTTAAGCATACTACTTGTTTGGCAGCAAGGTTTCATCATTTTACAGTTGAAATGGCTAGATGTAACTAAGTTCTATGCTAACAGTTACTTCTCTTGCAGTTCTTGCTTGTGGAACTCTCTTCTGGCTTACTTTCCAGTCAAGTTTGATCTTCAAAAATTTAAATGCAATATCAATTATTATCTTCTATCTTCTTAATTCCAGTTCTTTTATTGTTCTCTCCCCTTAATAATGTTTTCTTTTTTTTATATTCTTTCACTCTAGTAACCCCTTGCACCTTGAAATGTATTAAAAAACGTACATCTTAATTCACCAAAGTACCTTTTATCACATCCATTCAATTAAGATTAGAAGCCATGAGAGAAATGTTCATGTAGCATCAAGGCATTTTATTATCATTATTATTATTATTATTATTGTTTTTTGCTTTGTCTAGTATGAGTTGTCCTCACATCTCAACCAGAGACTTCAAGAGTGATGTAATGGAATAACCAGTCACCCCCATGAATGATTACACTGTAGGTAGTAAGTACCTATAAAGTCAACTGTCTACAAGAGACTGGGGAAGAGTGAGAGCGAGATGACACAAGCATGTCCGACCTTCCAATTAGTGGCACTCACTACTAGATTGACCTGTGTGTATAACTGTACCGTATTTCATATTGTACTTGTTGCGTACAATAAACCTTTCTTCTATTATTCACCTGGTGTTAAGTATTTATTCCTTTAGCATGGAATATAGCAAAGAGACAACAAGTTCTTTTGTATTTGAAGATGCATGCAGATGAGGTGCCATAAAATCAAGGAGAGAACAAAAGATGTGGGAAGTACCTGCCCATGAGTATG